CTTATTATCCCCGTACAACTGTGCGTACCGGGCCCATGATCATTTGTTGGGGGCTTTTGTCACACCTGCCAGCAGGCCTAACCCACAACCTCATGACCTGGATTCTGCCTTGCTCAGGCAATGTTGCAAAGCTCGTAATAGGACTGCCAATAAATTCCCAAAGGGCATGCCGCTGTGCCATAAGTTGAATGTCAACACATCTGTGGTCAGCATATCAGCTCCCCAATTAAGTGCCCAGAGGCACCACATTCCTCAAGCCAGCCTCTTGTCCCAAAGCACTCAGCTTTATTTGCTGGGGGAACTGGGAAGGAAGCCCACTGTGCCGTCTCACATCCTCGACTCCTGGTTCTCCTGCTGCTGCTCCTCTGGTATCAGCTGCCTCCTGGATCAAGGAAGTACATGCCACACTACTGGTGGATCTTCTCTCTTGCTAGTAGTGAGATCCTCCCCCCGCCCAATCTGAGATGAATCCTGTTTAACAAGACTCACAGCCAGATCATAGACTATTTTCCCACCGTCTTTCTAGCTTGGGGAGAAGTCACAGGCTGAAGCTAGAAGAGCCATGAGCTTTGAAATCAGGTGGCCAGGGACCTTGGTGGAAACGCAGACGGTGTGGGATCCGGGGCACAGGGGGATAAAGGCGGAGGAAGTAGGCCAGTGGGGTGGGGATGCCGAGCCCGTGGTGACCGCTGGCTGGGATTCCTCTGCTGCTGAGCAGCCTCTCTGTGGTGGTCCGTGAACTTCTTCGTGAGGTGGGCGACAAGCCCCAGACAATCCTGACTCCCTACGATAGGGTTTCTGAGCCTGTAAATCTTTATGGGAACAGTGAGCTGCCTCTTTCTCAGAGCAGCTGATGGGTTTGAAATACCAACCTTGAGGTCAGTAGTCCAGCCATTCCTTGAACGTGCCACCAGGGCTCCACTGGCGTGCGTGAAGGTCTAAAGTAAAATCTCTCTGTGTCGCCAACATCCAGCCTGGAGGACACAGTCATGCCGCCGCCCCTCGGGGAGAAATGGACTCAGAAGTGACTGACTGTGCTTTGGGGGTCCAGAGGGGAGCGGTTCACTCGGTAAATGAGCAGGGCTTGTGGAGGAGGTGGGCTGGCTCTTATCCGTCTGCACTTGGGCCAGGGGAGATGGGCAGGGGCCGGACGACAGCATGCAGAGGTGGTGGGGTGGCACAGTGAGGAAGGCTCGGAGAAGACTTAGTGGGTGGCCAAGGTACCAGCAGTTTTCTGGGGTCTCTGCAGGCCCAGTACTGGTGAGGGACACCCCGCCCCCCACCTCACTGACTGTGGCTAGTGCCAAGGCGTTGGCTCCCTGGCTCTGCGCTCAGCTGCTAAGCCCCACATCGTCTCGTTCCAGCCACCAGCTCAGGAGATGCGTTGTCGCTCAGCATTGAGGTGACCAAGTGAGTCCTGCCACCCATAGATTTCTGCTTCGGCCCCCAGACAGGTGGCTTGAACCAGGTCTCAATGGGAGGGGGGTATACTTACACCACCTTACATAGTCTTGGGGGCATGCAAGCCCCCCTCATTACAGGGAGCCACATAGGTAACAAATGGACAGTACCTTAACCGTAGAGGTCCCTGGGTTCTTTGGGGGAGTAACAACACCGGTGCTGGGGGCAGTCCGGGGAATGACTGTCCCCTGAGCAGGGAGAGCAATAGCAATGTGTCTGCTCCTCTAGGTAAAGCTGTCGGCCAGGTAGCAATGAGCCACGTGCTCGTAAGAGGTATCGTTACGGTGGCACGCTGATGAGAGGACATTGTGGGCAGGACTTTTAACGATGAGAATGCTCACGAGTGTGAAGGCCGCCCTCCACCAGAATCCTGGCCCCCCAGCATCTTC